TAGAATAGTCATAGAGACGGAAAGTAGAATAGTGACTGACGGGCTGGGAAAGAGGTGTTTATCATTTAATGAGTAGTCAGTTTGTGATGATCAAAGTTTTGGAGATGGATAGTGGTGATGGTTGCACACTGTAAATGGACTGAATTGTACACTTTAAAAATGGTTAAAATGATGTTTTTGTTTGGTTTTGTTTTCAAAAAATGAAATGAGGCCCAAGTTGGGCCTGTTGCAAGGAGTCCACTACCACAGGGCCGAAGATGGTGGTGGATGCAGATCCTGTCTCACTTGTCTCCAGATGCCTAAGTTGAAGGTAAGTAGCATCAAGGCTAACTGTCAACCAAATTGAAGTTGGATAACGGTCTCAAAGGGTCCCATCCAATATATCAGTTTCGAACTCTATTCAGATTTCTGTGAGACACGTTGCAGAGATTGCAGAAACTGAAGCTGATTTAGCTTGTAAAGTGCATTTTCTGATCCAAATTATTTTTATTACTTACCTAAGACCCCCAGATAAGTTACTAGCAGTGGAAAATTTCGGTTAGAAACTGAAAATCATAATGCATATTAACATGGTGCCTCTCACAGTTGAAGCACTTGATTGGAATCTAGCACTCCATCACAAAGACAGTGAAATGTATCTAGTCACTGAAAAAACTATCAACCAACTGGCTGGGCTTCCACCAGACATTATAGGATATCTGGGGGTTAAACTACTGGCTGATCTTTTGAATTCTGATGATCCATTTATTACATACTGAAGTTGCATAACATCATTTATAAGACAAGAAGTGTTTCCACAGTAAGTGGAAGACTGTATTAAATGCTATGCCAGATGATTTAGGATTGCAGGGTCACAGACTGAGTAATGTGCCTCTGCAATTCTAAACAAGTTAACCCATCCTCTCCAGATGTGCGCACCTCCCTAAACCCTTTTTGAAGACCAAAAAACTCTTTAATTGCCCATTTTTTACATGGAAAATTTAATTTAAAAATATGTTTTGGAGTCTAAAAGTAGGCTCACCTTACTTTTCCAAAACCGTATTATGAAGGCTGTTGATGAAATTCTTTAGAGAAATTTAATAAACTCAAACTTGAGACTAGTTTGCTTACCCTTTTTCCAAGCAAAATCAATTTTCCACACAAGTGACTCTAATGTGTTTGGCATAGCCCCACAGATTGGCAATAAGCAATTCGTTCCAGTGGCTGGATATGAATTCTGAGAGAATTTCTTCCACTTATGCTGGCCCTGTTTAGATGCCCTAAAGCTTTCCAGAATACATAAAAATGTTCAGTCTGTCTTACTGAAATGCTCATATATTTTGAAACTCATGTTCTTTCCTATTCTTAGTCTGTAAACACTAAGTCAAACAATTACTGAAATACAAAGAAAATATGACAGACATCACTCATCCTGTCCCAATCAAACACGTCTGCCGTCTAAAACTCAGCCTTTTAAATGTCGCATGTCTACACGTGACAAGTTTTGGAGCCTTCTGAAGTTCAATCTGATATTAAAAATACCACATACATTTCCCTTCCTGCTCCCTATTTCTTGCCCTTTCTAGCATACTGTCCAGAGGAAATGGCTTGAGGCCCAAAGTAGTCAGAACCTGGGTGGTTTTGCTGATGTAAAGTGATTGTGAACGAGTAAGTAATATGTGTGTAGCTATTTATTAAAGAACCAGACTCCAAGCAGTTAGCGTAATAGCTATGTTGCTGGACTCCCACGTAGTCGACCGCAGTTTGCGTCCTGGACCTGGTGGCTTAAAACTCACGCCGGGTGCGTGTGTGTGCATGCCCAAGATCCTGAGAAGAGAATGGAGAAGGGATTGCAGCGTGACCATCCCCCCTGGGGGGTGATTTATCGCTTTCTGTCTCTATGTCTCTCTGTCTGTCTGGCAAGCGCACACGCCCTATAGCGAAAACCTCTCCAAAAGAAAAAAAAAAGAAAAAAAAGAACCAGACTCCAACTGTCCTGTAGGTCAGAAAAGTCACCCTAGAAGTTAGCTCATGTATGCCACTACCTGAAATCGTACCTAAACCCTTCTTCAGTGGTGGTTCTGAGCTTACCCAGGAGTAAGCCCTAGACCTTGGTGGACCAGAGACCAGCAGTGAAATATGGAGCACTGGGTTCATGGACTTTGGGGTAAGAATGAAGACAGGGAAATAGATTTCCCTAGTGTTTAGACTTGAACCTGTGAAATTAAATGCAGAATGTTTGTATGTTTTTAACACAAAATGAAGTGATCCCATCTTTACCTGTCATCAGTAAGTCTGTGCTTACTTGACTGGAACTATTCTCAAGTCAACACCTAGAGTCACTCCACGTGTGATGCTGTATTTCTGGTTATTTTGAGGTGAACTACTATTTTGAACTACTTTCTCTACTCACCATAACATACATATTCATCCCAAATTGTGCTGGCCATTCTTACTGTGACTTTGGCTAGGTTTACAAATACTCCCACGTAGTCGACCGCAGTTTGCGTCCTGGACCTGGTGGCTTAAAACTCACGCCGGGTGCGTGTGTGTGCATGCCCAAGATCCTGAGAAGAGAATGGAGAAGGGATTGCAGCGTGACCATCCCCCCTGGGGGGTGATTTATCGCTTTCTGTCTCTATGTCTCTCTGTCTGTCTGGCAAGCGCACACGCCCTATAGCGAAAACCTCTCCAAAAGAAAAAAAAAAGAAAAAAAAGAACCAGACTCCAACTGTCCTGTAGGTCAGAAAAGTCACCCTAGAAGTTAGCTCATGTATGCCACTACCTGAAATCGTACCTAAACCCTTCTTCAGTGGTGGTTCTGAGCTTACCCAGGAGTAAGCCCTAGACCTTGGTGGACCAGAGACCAGCAGTGAAATATGGAGCACTGGGTTCATGGACTTTGGGGTAAGAATGAAGACAGGGAAATAGATTTCCCTAGTGTTTAGACTTGAACCTGTGAAATTAAATGCAGAATGTTTGTATGTTTTTAACACAAAATGAAGTGATCCCATCTTTACCTGTCATCAGTAAGTCTGTGCTTACTTGACTGGAACTATTCTCAAGTCAACACCTAGAGTCACTCCACGTGTGATGCTGTATTTCTGGTTATTTTGAGGTGAACTACTATTTTGAACTACTTTCTCTACTCACCATAACATACATATTCATCCCAAATTGTGCTGGCCATTCTTACTGTGACTTTGGCTAGGTTTACAAATATCTTGATGGCAGTCACTAACAGATGTGAATCACTTCCATGAGCACAGCTATAGCTGAACCCAAACTTTTTTTTTTAAAATATTGAAAGACAATGTGGATCTTTAAACACTGTGCTTTTCCTCTTTGATGTCATTTTAACCTTGACACATACGGACACTTCCTTAGATTCTTTCTTTTCCCTTTCACTGAGTGTTTTCTCCACCATGCTTATGCATGAGGAAAAGGACTAGGCAAATTTAATTCCTACCCACACCACGACCCCTTTTACTTTCTCTAACTGACCACAAAATTCAAGTTTTCCCTCCGAGAAGCAGTACTTACGAAATTCTACCTAGTCACCCTACTTCCTCCCAAGAAGTTATAGTTTAAGAACAATGGAATACTTTACTCCCTTCCCACACCACCCCTGGGAAATCTTATAACTGCAAATTCCCATATTCTACTCAAGAGTAATTGTGAGAATAGAAAGCTCATGCTTGGCAAGAGTGAATCACAAAAGCTTTACTGAGAAATAATCTACCCTTATTTCCTTCGAACTGGCCCTAGTTTCATAATGTGATTTTTACCTAAAATAAATACGCAAAGTTCAAAAGTAGATAACAGATTTATATTTCGAATCTTGGGTTGTAATGCTGACACCCTGATGACGCACAGAAGTAAAAAGACAGGGCAACAATGCCTAAACTCTTTATTTTACCAACACCAGTATTTGATTCTCTTCCTCATGCTGAATTTAAAAATCCTTAGGAGTCCACAAATACAGCACTGAGACTTCCTATATCCAGAGAAAGGAGCCCAAAGCCCGGAGAGGTCAGGCCTGAGGCTGTTTTGAGGGTGGGGTAGAGGCGGGAGGGAGTGGCAAAGATTTCTCTAGCACAGTCTGTGTCTATTTTCTTACTTTACTAAAATGTCTTTAAACTCTCCATGTCCCCAAACTTTTCTTCATGGCATCTATGACAGAAAAACACTCATATACACCATGCCACTGAGGAACAAAGGGAAGGCACTAGCCACAATGTTTAGTCAGTCAGAAAATAGATTTCTGATCCAGCAGAATGGCAAGGAGTTGTGCAAAACTGGTTGAATATGATCTGCTTCTTGCTCAAAGTGAGCTGGACTGGGATTTGTGAATGGAAGCATTTCCCATAATAGTGAATTAAGCTCTATAAAAAAAATAAAGTTGTTCCTATCTTTAAATAGCATAGGAGCTGCTTCCAAGAATGCAGGGATGCCCCTGTTCCATACCCTACTCAGACAAGGCCGATTCCTCATAGACAGCTATGTGAAAAGCATAATATCCTTCTGTCACCTTTTTTTTTGGGGGGGGGGGGGGGAC